TTCATGCTCTGGAAATAGCTGCTCGGCAAACTGTTGAGAAGGACCTGGGGGTCCAGCCCAACGTGGTGGAAAAGAGCCGTTCCTCAGTGAACGGGCCAGCGGTGCGGAGGAGGCACCTCCTTACGGATGAGGACACCGAGCCTGGGGCTACAGGGCGCAGTTAGACGGGGCAGAGCTCGAACCAGGGTCTCCTGACCCTAAAATCAACCGTTTCCTCAGGCCCAGGCCAGCAGCTTTGATCAAATGTTCTTGGCTCCAGGTTATTGAATTAAATTCCACTTGCTGTTGCTTCCTCCTCAGCAAGGCGTGTTCCCCAGCCTCCTTCCTTTTGTCAATGCCGGCCCCACCCTCGCCAGGAACCCCAGCCTCCCCCAGACCTGCCCATTATAACGGATCCTTCAACAGTGAAACAGTAGTTACCAGTGACTCAGGGCTTAGTATGCTAAGCATGTATTAGCTCACTTAACGGCGAGCCGAGAAGGCGGGAATGATAAGGCTGATGCTCAGAGAGGTTAATAATTGGCTCAAGGTCACAATGATGAACGAATTCTAAGCCAGGCTTATCTGACTCCAGAGCCACTTAAAATCTGTATTTTATTGCCAACCCGTTCAATTAGGTTATCCATTGTTCTGTGCAGCCTGAGTTCTCAGCAGAATTACTTGCTCTCACTTGTCTGAATTTCCGAGTTCCCTGAGGACACTTCTAGCGCAGTACCTGTCACAAGGTGTTAGCCCCACAGGCCGTTACACTAGCAGCCAAGCACCCATATTTAAGTGTTATTAAGTATCTGAATACCAGGGATGTCTTTGGCACCACCTAGCACAAAACCGGGCTTCTATCACATCCTGCAGCGCGTGGGCCTTCACTCAGCGCTGATGAAACAGCTGCTGTGCGCTAGCCACATGGACTCCTCATCCCCAGGAAACGCAGTCTGATGAGGGACAAGGCACCACAAACAGAGGGTCCAACTGTGAGCTAAGTCCAGCGATTGACACCAGGACCCTGACTGATGGGGACACAGCGGGCCAGGTCCACAGGGACAGGAGCCCAGGAACGTGCCCTGGAGGCTGCCATGCCTGGGGCGCTGTGCCTGCAGGAGCGAGAGGAAGGGCGCTCTGAGTCAGTGCAGGGGCCGGCTGGGCCACCGCAGCCCCTGTCGCCAGAGCTTCAGGGGCGAGGGGGAGCGAGAGAAATGAGCCAGGAAACAAGCAGGGGGGTTCCAAGCGGGGCTGGGCAGGGCACCTCTATCCTGAGGACACAGGAAGCCACCGTGGGCACGGCTGGTGGGGGTGGTGAGAGGGAGGCAGCAGTGACTCTTAAATGTGCAATTCCGTTCCGCGGCCAGGGCCCCTCAGGATCTGGAGGAGGTTATGCGTCAGGAATGCTGTTTGTCCGGCTGCAGAATTTACTTGCTCAATTACCTATTTAATTAGCTTAATTTAAAATACACTTTTTTGGGCCATGTCTCATTTGTCTTTTCTTTCAGATCTCCCTATCATTTGACAGTTTGCATGCTCAGTGTGTTGGCCAGCGGAAGGGACGCAGGGCATTTCTGTAGAGACCGTGACATTTGCTCATGTGCCATGTGTGGATGAAAGGGGCCATATGCCAACCTGACTAGTTCAGGGAAGGCCTGCGTGGTGGCTGTGCAAGCTCAAAGAGCTAAAATAGCCACAAAAGATGGTCTGAAAATTAAATATTTAACTACAAACAGGTTATGCTGGGTAGTCACGTCCTAGGCCAGTATTTTCCCCGACAAAGATCAACTTAGATCTTTACTGAGACCATTTTTGCCTCTATGATAACTTATCTGCAGGATGTCTGGGTAACTTGTAACTTCCTTTCCCCCTCCCCCCACCCCTCAGGGCACAACCAACGGCCCCAGGACATCCCCTCATTGTTACTGGTATCAAGGTCATTGTCAGCTGTGGTCATGTTAAACTGTCCTGTAGCCATTTGTGTAAAGAAGCACATGCCCATCATTGCACTTTTTATCCCATCCCAGAGGTCTCCCCACTTGGCTTTCTCCCCCCTCCTTAATCTATCACCAGTGGGTTTCATGTAACCCACCTGCGTCCTTTCCTTTGACTGCCATGTGTAAATGCAGATGTACCCGCCATTCTCCGGAGCATTCTCTCAATTCGTTGAGGTTCTGCTTCCCAGCATATGTGGACAGTTTTGCTCAAATAAACTCACAAAATTCTTTACCGGTCTGAGTGCTCTTTGCATTAACATATGTTTCTTTTAAGCAAAACAACTCGCAAGCCGTCAGGCCGCCAGGGAGACCCTGAACCTAAATGCCTCGCGGAGCTCGATGGGTGCGGCGATGGCCCAGCACACGCACTCCGACTCTAAGAGCATCTTAGGACTCAATGCCTGTCCCGGCCACGATGGGCCAACAACACAGCACTGCTTCACGCAGGTTTATAATTCCCACGTGGATGCGTTCAGTCATTTCCCAAGTGCTCATCGGGTGGGTACGTGATGAATCAGACTCTGTGGAGAAACAATTTGGAATAAACAGGCTTCCTTTTAAAAAAGGTTTACTATGCATTTTAATTTTAGACGGGACGACGTGTGAAATTACAAGAAGAGGAAATGAGCACAGTTGTGCTTCCTTCCGCTCCCATGTCCCAGTTCCCGATTTTGTCAGCTCCCTTACTTTTACCTTCCAGGTTTACAGTGTTTACATTCTATTTCACAACCACGGTTCTTGTGCCTAAGTGGATCGGTGTTTGCATTAGCCGTCTTCCGACAATAGCTCCTCCCATTCTGAGGCCTGGGCTGGCTCCACCTCATGGTGAAGAAATTCTTTCAGGAAGGAACATGAGTTCTTGAGACTAGACTATCTCCTTATTTTCCTGACGCGGTAACTACGACTTGGCCACGCCCGGGGCGGAAGGGGACACTTTTTCCCCTCGGGACTCTGTGACACCCTTCCGGCACCTATGGCACATGCACAGGGTGGGGCAGCTTTATTCTGTCTCCTGAAATGACTAACTTTTGCTCGAATGTCTAAAGAATTCCTTTAGTCTTGAATCATAGTAACTTGATCAGGATATGTCTCAGGTCAATGTCTATTGTTCTTTCTCAGATTTTCCTGTAATTCAGTTTCCTATTTTGCTGTGTGAATTCTTCTCTTTCAGGGAACTTTTTTTTTTTTTTTTTTTTTTTTTTGGAATAAACAGGCTTCTTAACTGCAGGCGTGAGAGCCTCTGCCAGTGAATCTGGGTGACCTCCCCCAGCGCCCCCAGTGCGAGGACAGCGCCCCTGCTGGGGTCCAGCCCCAGCGGGTCCAGGGGTCCCCAAAGGTGTGGTCGGAGTCGGCGAAGAAGGAATGACACGGAGACAGCGTTCAGTTATCAGCAGCCTTGCCAGGATCTCTAGCCACAATCTCCAGCCAAGTTCTGTGTCCATGTTCTCTTGCTAGGTTCTCCAGCCACGTTCTCCAGGTTCTCCAGCCAGGTTCTGCATCTGTATTTATACCAGTTGATTCCAATCCTATCAATCTCTATTCCAAAGGTTAGGGCGTTTCTTATCTCCATTCCAGGGAGTAAAGATTATGCAGCTTAAGCATGATTGTTCGTAGTTAAAGTGATTAATTACCTGCCTGGCACTTAGTTAAGGGGTTTTATTCCCTCCCTAACTTCAGGGGAAAATCTCTACCTGGGGAAACAACCTTTCTTGGAGAGTTGACCTTGGTTAAAACACATAGTGCCAAGAAGGTGAGCAAACATATTAAGAACAGTATGCCATGCCATATACGCCAGGTCCCTTGAAACAGCAAGGATGGACCGGCTCCAGGCATGCCCCCAGTGCGGGGACGGCGCTCAGGGACGCACAGCGCACTTGGAAACGCACGGCTTCTTCACCCAGAGAAACTGTGCTGCAAGTGGAGGGTTTTTTCTTTTTTATACAAATGAGAACATGAAAATGTCCAAACTGTGGGATCACTTTCAATTAGATCAGATTATTACGTCCCAAACAGCAATAGAAAAAAGGCCTCTATTAGGCTCTCCTAACAAATACCAGAGCATGGGACACAGAGGAGTGTGTGAGTGTGTGCATGTGCGTGCAGGCGTGTGCAGGGCTTACAGGTGTGCAGGCGTGTGCAGGGGCTTACAGGTGTGCAGGCATGTGCAAGGGTGTGCAGGTGTGCACACATGTGTGCAGGCGTGTGCAGGGGCATGCAGGTTAAGGGTCACAGTGGAAAATGGGTCTCCGGGCTCAGTCCCTGGGTCAGTGAATTCCCCTATCACTAGTGAGACAGGACAAGGGCCAAGGCTACATGGTCATCTATTAATTTACTGGGCAGATCAGTTTTAGAAAATCGAGTTTGTTATCTGTCTTCTGGCAGCTTCCTGTTTGGGCCTCACTAAGCGCGCAGACCAGCTTGCCAGGTGGGCGAGGCCAAGGCAGCCCCTCCAGGGGCACCTGTGCAGGGTGCCCTCTGCTCAGGCCCTGCGGCCCCCACCCTCTGCAGTGTCCTCCTCCACAAATGGGTATAGAACCCACGCTGAGGGGTTGTGGTGAGGATTACACCAGATGGCGGTGAGGAGCCAGCGTGTAGAGGCCACCGTAATATTAATTCCTTTTTCTTCTCACTTGTAGCCTCTACACCCAAATTAATTTGATTCAGTTGTCTATGAACTGTGGTTTTTACTCTCTAAACCAGATTTTTTTCCAACCAAAATATTGGAATTGGCCATCATGTCTTACAATTACTCTGATTTTAATATTTATATCAATGTCTATAAAACCCGACTTCTTCCCCGTGTTCGCTCATTTACCGCTGCTTACAGCGATGAAGCATCGTCCTCTTTGGGGTCTTATCACCCACCCCGCATCGCCTGCATTTCCGTGATGGCCTCTGCGTCTCACCCTCCACCTGTGTTCAGAACCCGGGTGGCCGCCGGTCACTGTGGCCACCTCCTACTGGACTCTTCGCAGACAGGATGGTTTTAACAGACGTTGTCTCTTAACCTTAACATAACCCCATCTCCTCGGGGAAAACGGAGGCCAGAGAAATAACCCGCTCCTGGTGTTAAGCAGCAAGTATCTGAGTCTCATTCAGCACCTCAAAGCCCCGCGATCAGACCTTCAAGGCCCTTCCACCTTTTCCAGCCCAAATCCCCGCCTTATCTCCAGGCAGTCCAGTCTCGGAGCCAGCTGACTCCAGCGCACCCACAGGCTTTAGTTTTCCTTATCAGCAATTCATTAACCCTCCTGTGGGCCCAGAATGGCTCCCCAGCTCAACTCCCCTCCCCCACCCCTGTCTCATTGGCATTTTCCAACCGACTGTCCCCCAAAATTTGGAATCACATCTCAAACACCACTAGCCATAACCATGAAATGGGAAGAATTATTTCAGGAATTCAAGAGCCTAGCATAGACTAATTCTTGTTGTAGATGCACTGCAGTTCAGGGTCCTCAGGGAGCCCCAGGAATTCTTACGATTTAATTTACAAAACATCCTCAGAAATCTGTGATCACCCTGGAAACCGGACGTAGGCCAGGGAGACCGCATTTTAGGGATATTATTTTCTTCTCTAGCTTAAAGGCCCTTTTAGGGCATGGACTATACCTTCAAAAAAAATTTTTTTTTATTTATCTATTGAGAGAGAGAGAGAGAGAGAGAGAGAGAGATTTGTTGTTCCACTTGTTTGTGCATTCATTGGTTGATTCTTCTATGTGCCCTGACCAGGGATAGAACCCACAACCTTGGCCTATCTGAGGATTCTCTAACCCACTGAACAACCCAACCAGGGGAGGGACATACCTTTTCTACCTGCACTTCCTTGGCTGCAGGGAGAAGGAGCTTCCTAGGGGTTGTAGAACTAACTGCCACATGAAGGCTCCCTGAAAAGGAATGAAGGTCCTGTCCCTTCTCGGGACGTCACTGTTGTGAGATTTAACCTGCTCTTCGCCGTCCCTTCCAAACAGTTCGGACCACATGTCCCGTGACAGCTGGTTGAGTCCTCTCACCTCACTCATTTATTTTAGAAAAAACTATTATTACTGAATTCCAGAGCCCTGAAGCGCTCATTGTACTGCCTTGTCTTTCTGAAGGGGAAAGGATGCTTACAAGTCTTATGTATAATTTAACAGTGGGAGGAAAACAGAGCGCTGCCACGAGAAGCCGGAGGCGCTCCTGCACAGCCGGGTCAGGGCCAGCCGCCTGACAGGCCATGGACTGCGGTCCGGCCTCTGACCTCCGGGGAGCCACGCTGCGGAGCCAGCAGAGGCCGCGGTCTCTGGGTAGACAAGGGGGTCATCTACCCTTCGCCGTTGCTATTTGGTTCAAGCCTCTTGTAAAGAACGCAGCTCCAAGCAGACCCGCCCCAGCTCCCTCTCCTGGCCCTGGAGGGGCTGAGTCAGAGGCCCCCGGCGGCTCAGCTCCGTCACTCAGGGCAGCCTGGAGCAGATGGGTGCTGTGGCCACACGCACACAGTTCTGCACAAACACGAGCCAGGGCTTTGCAGGGCTTGTCTGGACGTTTCTCGCTTCCGAACCCACTGGAACCCTTATGTGCTCCTTGCAAGTGGTTTAAAAACAATATGCTGAGGCCTGGCCAGTGTGGCTCAGTGGTTGAGTGTGGACCTATGAACCAGGAGGTCAAGGTTCGATTCCCAGCCCCCGTTGTGGGTTCCATCCCCAATAGGGGGCGTGCAGGAGGCAGCCAATTGATGTTTATCTCATCATTGATATTTCTCTCTCCCCCTCCCCTCCCCCTCCCACTCCCCCTCTCCCTCTCCTTCTCCCTCTGCCTTCCTCTGAAATCAATAAAAAACAACGATATGCTTATATCAGGGCACTTCTTTTTTAAAGATTAGAGGACTTATTTTTGTCATGTTAGCTTTTCTTTTCTAGAAAGTGTCTGCTTCAGCACACAGTACTCTTGTGATGCTATTACCCCCAATCTGGTTTATCCACCATTTCATGGTGCATATCGTATTCAAAAGCAAACAAATCCCAAAGTCCTTAACTTCTGTCTGATAGGGCGGCTGCAGGCGGCTGGGGTTCTCTCAGACGCAACAGGCGCACTGCCATTCACGTTGCTTACAACCAACCGCCGGTGACATAACCAGGAGGGCACTGTTTCCATGTCCAACGGAGCTGTGAACAAACGGGACCCGGGCATGGACCCTAACCCAGCTCAGAGGCAGACATTGCAGTGAACTACGGACACAGACCTCCTGTCCTCCATCCCGACGGCAGGAGGTTAGGTTAGTCCCGGCCGCTGGTCCTCGGCCCCGGGCCCAGGACGTGAGGCCCTTGTGTTTAGACCGATCTCCTCGGCACTCAGGACCCACAGTTTCCTGATCACATTGATATTCCTGGGAGCTGCGAAGAGCCGATTGCCACGGATTCAAACACAGTTGTGCAAAAATGGTCGGAAACATATTACTAGGAGGAAAGAAAGGGAGACACATGCGATGCAAAGACAAGAAGCCACGGAGGACGCAGAGGCCCTCACGTGGGACTCTAGGGATGATGTCAGGCCCTTCACCAACCCCAGGTGGGCGCTCTGGTGTGCACCGTGTGCATTGCACTGAGAAGGTTCATGCTTCAGGTCTCCTGTCTGCAACCTTCCCTTCTCCCCCAGCCGAGGCCGAGGGCGGCTCCTCTTGGCATTCTTTAGAGAGCTGCCTACGCCTGGTTGTGTATCCTGAGGACATTTCTGTATCTGAGTTTAAATTTGCATTTCTTAGCCCATTTGAAAGTTTGACTGAAAACTAAATAAAATTTATTCAAATGACTTCTCTCAGAAGCTCTCGTTCTGCCATGTCCATTCATTTTTTTCTACCTCAATTTATGCAGATTTTCGATACATGAGACCCTCAGTCCCCCACTCCTCATATACCATGCTGACGTGACTAGGAGCTGGGGTCGTGTTTATTGTTTGTAGCCAACAGCACTAGTTGGCGTCTGGAAGCTGTCCCGGCTGTTCCCGTCGCCATGAGAGGACATGTGCATCTCTCCTGGGCGGCTGGGCCCACCGGCTCCGACTGGTCAGACCGTCCACAAGCGACCAACCTCAGCGCCCCTCCCCTCCCCCCTCCGCAGCCGCCTGCAAAGTCACCTTCACCTTCTCCCGCTTTTCTTTTGCAGTCTGGATCCTTGCAGTTTTCCTGCTTTTTCTAGAATAATCTGGAAGCTTTAAAGCACCTTCTTATGGACACACCCAGTACTGATTTTATAAGTGTGTTTTGAAATGAGTGAGTAGCTGTTTTTAAGAATAATAATACTGTACCATGTGGTGTCTTCGGTAAGGTTTTGAAAATACTGTAGCTTAGAGATAATCTCCGGAGAGGGGGCCTGGGTGGAGTCGAAGGGCAGATAGTGTCAGTTTTACCAGAGGAGCAGGTCGGGGATCTACAGAGCAGCCGGAGCCTGTCCTTAACACCCCCAACAATAGCAGTCATGATAGTGATGATGAAGATGAAGGGAAGCGTGTGGAGTGAGGGGCAGGTTTGTGGCAGAGGGGTTGGTGGTTTCACAGGCGGACACGAATCTCTAAACTCACAGCGTTGTCTACAATACACACGTACAGCTTTTCATGTCGACCAGACCTCAACCCCCTGGTTTCAAAACACAGATAATGTCCCTTTGCAGCGTGTTTCCCATTCTGACAACATTCTCCCACGTACAGCTCATCGATTTCTCCAAACAGCTGGACTGAGCAGTGCGACCATCGCACGTTATGAGCGAGAGCCCAGGTCTCCACGACACCTGCAGGGCCGACCGCGCCCTCGGGCTCACCTCAGGCCTCTGTGCTGTTGGTAAGCAGCAGAGACAAACCCAGAAAACCCTCCTGTCAGCGAGGCTGGGGAACTGGGAGAGCGTGCCATTCTCTGGACCGCGGCTCGGAGCTTTTTTTTTTTTTTTTTTCCATAGATCCCTGGGCAATTTGGGGGTGTCTTTATACAAATAATAGCTACAGATATGCAGGTAGGACTTCAAAGGAAACCAAAGACATTACAGCACAGTTACCAAGATATGTGCGGTATTGTGCTCCTGCTGGGCAGTGGAGACCAGGGCTGAAGGGAGGGCTATTCCCCGTGGTTTTGAAAGAGGGAAAACAGTGGTATTTCAAACTCCGGCAGACCTGCCAGCATCTGAGAATACTGACTTCCTACTGGTGACAAAGCCCCTACGTTCGTAATGGAAGGAAGTGCACACTTCACGCAGAGAACCCTGAACACGGAGATTAACTGTCTCCCGGTCCAAGCTCAGGACCCCTGAGGTCCCGGCCCTGGAGGCTGACCAGCTCTGGGCTCCGGCTGGGACCCACCCTCCCCTGTTCCTCCAGCGGCAGCCCTTCCTGCAGCCCTTCCCGCCACCGCTGGGGTCAGCTCACCCTCCAGGGTCTCGCACTGGACCAGGTTGAGGTAGTCCTGCTGGGTCAGGAGGCCGGCCTTGCAGCCTCGCACCAGCCCCTCCAGGTAGCCGTGGTCCACATTGAAGCACAGCTCGGCGCTTCCCAGCATGGGGACGGCTGGGGGTCCCGGGTGGGGTCAGCGGGTCTGGCGGGAGCGGCGTCCTGGGCCCTGGAGCCTTGCCGTCTGGAGACGCACTGGCTGCACAGGAGTCACTGTCAGCTGACAGTCGGGTCTTTGTGACCAGTTTTCTCCGGTGTCCGTGGCTTTGAGCAGAGGGCTCAGTGGTGTTGGTGGCAACAGTGAATAAGCTGGATGACCCATCGCCCAGGAGCCCCACTGGGGGGTGGGGGTGAGGGGGTGGGGCGGGCTGAGGTGCCCAGAGCCCCGCCTGCCCCAGCTTTGCCAGGGAAGGAGAAACACCTGAATGTTTTGTAAACATCCCTCCCCCAGTGGAGCTTTGGAATGTAAACCACATTTGTCCTCATGTCTTCAGGACTAGCAGTGACTAGCAGTGTGAAGAAAGAGAGGGCCTTTTTAAAATCTGATTTTAGAGAGAAAGGGAGAGACAGAAACGTTAATGATGAGAGAGAATCATTGATGGGCTGCCTCCTGCATGCCCCCCACTGGGGATCCAGCCCACAACCCGGGCATGTGCCCTGACGGGGAACTGAACTATGACCTCCTGCTTCATAGGTCGCTGCCCAACCACTGGGCACACCAGCCAGGCAAGGGCCTTTTTCTAAAAAAAAAAAATCCTCACCCAAGGAGTGAGGGTATTTATTTTTCCCATTGATTTTTAGAGAGTGGGGCGTGGGGGAGAGAAAGGGAGAGAAACATCTATTTTAGAGAGACACAATGATTGGTTGCCTTCCACACCTGCCCCACTGGGGGCAGGAATGGAATGGAACCTGCAACCCAGGAATGTGCCTTGTCCCCTCGACAGACCAACACTCTAACCTCTGAGCCACCCCTGCCAGGGCAGAGAGGGCCTTTTTTTTTTAAAAAAAAAATGTTTTTTATTGGTTTCAGATAGAGGAAGGGTGAGGTAGAAACACCAATGATGAGAGAGAATCATTGATGGGGTGCCTCCTGCATGCCCCCTACTGGGGATCGAGCCTGCAATCTGGGCATGTGCCCTGACTGGGAATCCAAGCAGGCAGACTGAAGAATCCTAATCCAGGTCTTCCTGTTTGTTTGTTTTTGTTTTAAGCTTCTTTGTTATGAGACATTTCAGACGTGCATGAAAGGAAACAATGCCAGGATTAACACCACAAATCCATCACCCAGCTTCAATAGTCATTGCTCAGGCCCAGGTGGGCAGCTTTGCGAGATCAGCAGGCTTTCTCTGGAAAGGCTGTCTCTATCAACCAGTCCACTCGGCCACACGTAAATGAATGAGCGAGACTGTGTTCCAATAAAACTTTATTTATGAAAACAGGTGGTGGCCGCACTTGACCTCCCTGACCTTTGACCTTGCCCTCCTCCTCCCCACCCTGAATAATTGTCAAGTAATTCCAAGATATCCTATTGTTTTACCCTTAATCATTTCCGTAGGTATCTCTAAAAGATAAAGATTCTTTTACAATGTCATCACAATTCTATTGCAATAAAGTTATTCCCAACATTAAATAATATCGTCAATGTTCAAGCTGTTTGGACACAAATTTTATTTGTTTTACGCTCGGTTGGAGACGTGACGTTGGGTTTATATGTCCCTTCACGTCCTTGCAGGGGCGCCTCCCCTCCCACTTGGCTGCCTGCTGTTGAAGTGACTGGGTCATTGTTCCCCTTTCCTAAGGTTTGGGAATTTGCTGATTCCATCTTGAGGTGTCATTTAACTTACTGCTCTGTCGCCTCTCACTCCTATAAGGTGGTAGTGAGACCTGGAAGCTAGGTTGCTTTATGCTAGATAGTTTTCCAAGAACACTTCCCATGTGCTGTGAATACTGGCCCAGGTGTGTATGTCCCGCCTTCGCGGTTTACATGGTTAACGTCAGCGCTGTGATGACCACCACCCAGATGCAGGTTCCTTGGGAGTAACAAAATGCTGATGCTTCAGCTTGTTGTTCCTCATGTATTAGCTGAAATACTTCCATAGAAAGAGAACTTCTCAACATCAGCTCTTGGTTACCCTAGTTTACAGTCAAATAAGAAAGGCAGGTCCTGGCCAGTGTGCTCAGTGGTTAGAGTGTTGGCCAGCACATGGAAGGTCTCCGGTTTGACCCCCTTCAAGGGCACTACCAGGGTTGTAGGTTCAATCCCCGGCCCCTATAGGGGCACGTGCAAGAAGCAACCAATTGATGTATCTCTCTCGCACTGATGTTTCTCTCTCTCCTCCTCCTTCCCTTCCTCCCATCCACTTTCTAAAAATCAATGGAAAAATATTCTTGGACGAGGAAAAAAAAGAGAGGCGGATGAATGCTTCACCAGTTCTGTTCCTCACCACCTTCCGGATAATGAGTTGGTGCCTTCGCATCCTCTGAAAGTGACCAATAATATTCTTAAATAAAAATCATTATCGCCGAAACCGGTTTGGCTCAGTGGATAGAGCGTCGGCCTGCGGACTGAAGGGTCCCGGGTTCGATTCCGGTCAAGGGCATGTACCTTGGTTGCGGGCACATCCCCAGTGGGGAGTGTGCAGGAGGCAGCTGGTCGATGTTTCTCTCTCATCGATGTTTCTGACTCTCTATCTCTCTCCCTTGCTCTCTGTAAGAAATCAATAAAATATATAAAAAAAAATCATTATCATTAAATTCTGCGTTTAAATATAGCACCTTCTTCTGATGTAACTCTGGTTGTCTTGGTTGCCGGCTTGTTGTGTACAATTTTGCCCAGACCTGGGATGGGCATTTCTCTGCCCTTCTTGCGGTGCGTTGGGAAAGACTTCATAGGCAGCAGGAACAGCCCCAGGTGTCTGACTGGTGGGGTCAGACCGAACTGGGTTCAGCAACCTCGGTACTTGGGTTCTGGCTGGGAAAGAATTCAGATCAAGACCCAAACTATAAGACCCACCCTCCATCCTATGGGCTTTAAGGGTGGGGACCTAAGGGGACGTCCCAGGGAAGATATCAGTAGACTATTCAGCAGCTTTCCCGGGGTGTCCTTTCAGGGCTGTGGTCTCCATGATGGATTGGCCGGCACCTGGGCAGGGGGTCACTGTCCAATGCAGCTGGTCCTGATGTCAGCCGTGGCTGGTTTTGCTGCTTCTCTGGGCCTGGAGCTGAGATACAACTGAGGCCTAGATGTTGTCTCTAGGGAGGGAAGGTCAGGGGTCCAAACCGCATGACCTGCCATATGCCAGGGGGGAGACAAGGTCCATCCTGGTGACCTTCTTACTTGGCCCATCGTCCTTGCTCTGCTCGTGTCTGAACTGCCAACCACAAGACCAGCATCTGCAGTGCGGCGGGCTGGGTGAGCCCACAGGGTGGGAAGCAGGGTGGGGCACTGCAGGGCTTGGGTGGGCGGGCCCAAGGTCACCTTTCCTTAACTTCTCCAGCACTTAACTTTTCTAATAGAACGAAACACACCGCTGACACCTGCCCACGGAAGCCCTCCGCCAGGGAACGGGTCAAAGCACATGAACCGACTCCTGTGCTGTTTAAAGAAACCCCAACGGATCTGAGTGGATCCAGTGAGGAACCAGAAAGCAGGGGTGGCTCAGGCTGGCGCTCCAGGCAAACCTGGGGTGCCCCCTCCCCGATTCTCGTCACCTGGGGGAGGGCGCCTGCTTTCCGTTGCTTCTCACAGTCAGCGGCATCTGTGGATGGTCCTGGGACTCACCAGCTTTCAGGGCCTTTGGCAGGGGGGCTCTTAGTTTGAGGTGAGGGATGGGACTCTGCGCCTTGCTGAGCTGGGAGAATTCAAAGTCTGGCGGGTCCCTTAATAATTCCTTCTTCCTGAAGAGATGACAGAGCATCTCAGGTGCTGGCTGTGAACTTGAGCCGCCAGTGAGCCATGTGCTGCTTGCCCTGATGGTCCACCTTTCGTATTTAACAAAATAACAGTTTTGCCTTTATGTGGTATTAATTACACCGGGCCTGGGAGAGCACATGTCTCCCTGTTCTTCAGTGACCCTGTTTGATTTCTGGAAACAAAACCTGCTCTAATGGCAACAATTTTTAATCCCATCAGGAAAGAATCAATTGTTACTCATAATATTTACATAGGTATCACTATAAAGTGCAGGTAAAAAGTTCAAAATCCCAGGATGACTTTATTTCAAAAGCTTAAGGTCATAAATTCGTATTCTTGAGGCAGCATACTAAGAAGGTAGAAAAATTCCTTGGCAAGTGGAATGGGGAAACTGAGGCAGGCAGCTGAACAAAAGTGGTGGAGCAATTTACAGCAGATACAGGTCACCTCCTAGAGAGAACGTCTAGGCCTCAGTTGCATTTCAGCTCCAGGCCCAGAAAAGCAGCAAAACCAGGTGGGCGAGCCGGGCGGGCTGCGATGATACGACCCTGCCTGGCGCTGGCCATCAGTGGAGCCCACAGCCTTGAAAGGGCACCTGGAAAGCTGATGAGTATTCTACTGAGATTTCCCTGAGAGCCTAAACTCCCAGCCCTTAAACCCCTCAACACAAAGACCCTGGGATCTCGCCCCTGCCTTTCTCCTCCCCCCTAAACTCCGAGGTGCCCACAAGACTTGCAACAAGGGGAGCAGTGGGCAGTAGCAGCTTGTCCAGGCTAACGCCGACCTGTCTCCAGGGCGCCCTTTCTCTGACTTCCCAGTGACTGGCCCTGGAAGCCAGCGATTCCCATGACCCTTCTGATGGCAGCGTGCCTTGTCTCACTATCTCCCCTTAACGTTTCTAAGAGCCACAGCAGCCCCGCCCAGCCTCCTGGTGTGTCTTCTGTCCTATGCCCTTCCTCGTCTCACTGTCCCAGCTTTAATAAATGTCCTCTCAACGTCACGTGGACTCATATTGTGAAATCTTTTCTACATGAATTCAAGAACCCACACACTACCAACAGCTCAGGGCCGAACCGCTCCGTCCTGGTCCCCTTTCCGGTAACACTTTTATCCACATTTTATATCCTGACTTGCAGAGAAGTGAATAATTGCCCGAGCCAGCAAGATGATTACTTTTTTCTGTATTTTATGTTTTGTTCTGTCTTTATGGTATTATTTTCTGCTCAACTGAGCAAAGCATGCTTTTTGCAAAAATCCAACCATTAAAGAAAGATATGAGGTAGGGTGTCCTCTAACACCAGCCTGAAGAGAGAACACTAACAGTAGTTTGGGTGAGCATTGAAAAAGGTGACTTAGGCTCCAAAATGTTTGATGCTCATGGTACCAGCATTCATTTTTCAAAAGGTCATTTTGGTTTTGAGCCAC